GGTTTGGGGCTTAGGATTAAGGGTTTGGAGTTTAGGGGTAAGGGTTCAAGGCATGGAAAAATCATGCGGAAAGGTGCAGGGAACAAGAAACGGATGGGAATTTGTACGGTTTCAGATTCCGGCGTTAAGGGCTCCAAGCTTATGAAGTTCAGGGCTTCAAGAGTTTCAAGTTCAAGGTTCAAGGTGTATGCTCTAACCCCTAAACCCTAAACCCTAACCCGGGGGGATTAGCGTCAACGGCTCCTAGGTTTAGGGGACTGGAAGATCGAACTGAACAGCGAAGGGCACATGAAATAAACACCAGGGGTTTGAGAGATGCGTAGGGTCCAAGGGGTAAAGTGTCATCTTGCTGGCTGCTGCTACATGGGAAGTGGAAAACCAAATCGCAACTAAAATATCATGTGAACCATAATCTAAACTCCTAGTATCCCCCTTAATAGCCCCTATAGTAGTCCCCTATATAATCCCCTATATAACCCCCTTTAAGGAGTTTAGACTATGGTACATGTAGGCTTTGGGCATCAAGGTCTCCTAGGTTGAGGCCTAAGGGTTCCAAGGTTCAGGGTTCAGGTGTGTCGGCGGCGAATAAAGGAATGGATCCCGGGAGTAGGCTTCATATGTAACCCCCCCAATAAGATTGAAGTTTCGATGGTCTGTTCCACGACCCCCTACTAGCAAACCAGTCCCACAAGTAGTTTACCCTAAGCCCTAGACCGTTAAAGGCTCCAAGGCTTAGGGTACATGGCGGTTTCAATCTTGGAGGTCAGGGCCGCAAAGTTGGAGTGAAAGAGGGTTCCGATTTTCCAGCTTTCTGGAGGTTTGGGGCTTGGGGTTCCGTGGTTCAGAAGTTTACCGGCGTAGAGGTACACAGGGTTCAGGGGCTTAGGGGTCCTAAAGCCCGATCCCTTCAGCGTCATCCCGTAATAGCCAACTGCTAAGCCCTGAACCGCGAAACCAAAATCAAGCCCTGAATTTTTGAACGGGGGTTCCAAGCAAGAGGAAGCCCTTTTTAGGTGTTACCATAATGAGGCTTGTAAGATATTGCACTCTATATTGGAGTCCCCGTATTTACAAAAAAGCAACCAATCTCAGTCCCTGCACGCCGTACGGAATAACCCCTCCCCACCTAAAACCTAAACCCTTAGCCGTCAGCCCTAAACCTTAATCCTTAGACCCCAAGCCCCCAACCCTAAACCATCAACCCTAAACCCTAACCAAATAGGCCTTGCGCAGCTCCTGAGCAGAGAAGCCACAGCGGCGCATCTCTAGGGCTGTGACCTAGAGAGCTTTGGGGTAGCAGAGGGTTTAAGGCTTGGGGCCAGTCAAGAGTTTAAGTATCTAGGATTTTGGGGTTCTAGGGTTTAGGGTCCTAGAATTTTGGTGTGGGGTTTAGGATGTGGGGCTCAAGGGTGCCTAAAATACCCTGTGAAGGGCTTCGAGGGTGTCTACAAGGTGAAGAGGTTTAAGGCTGTAGGGTGCCCTCATATACCAGGTGACGCTGTATATAGAGATAAGTAAGGCCAAGTGATCTAGGGTTTAAAAAGTGTAGGGTTACGGGCTTTGAGGGTTTAAGGGGATTACGGGAGTCTCAGTTCAGAATTCCGAGCGAGAAATTCGTGAGATTACTGCACATGTAGATTGACTTACGTTTGCGCTTGTGGTACTGCGAGGTTGGCGATTCTAGGACTTCCGGTTAATACACGACCATAGTATAACATATCTGGAGGGTCAGGGGCACTTAGTAAGTAGGTTCATAATACGGACAACTGGGGTTGTTCTGTGTGTTAGAGAGGTTGTACGTATATTTACTCAGTCCCCCTGACCGTCCAAGTGGCAGCAAAATTCTGAAGGTGTAGGGTACGTAGAGTCATGCAGGCCTTTTGTGGTCTCCAGCGTGGGACTGGGGTGTGGGAGGTCGGCTTTATGTCAGGGCATGACACAGTGAACCAGAAGTGGCTTGCAGTAGAAACAGAAAGTTCGTACATCATCATCTAAACCCTAAACCCCTAAACCTACACCCCAAACCCTGAGTCCTAAATCCCTCCGCTAAGTCAATAAGGTCTAGCAAGCTGCGAAAAAAAGGCATGGTTCCTTCTGAGATTCTTGAGAAGGGCGAATTTGGCTTTTAAGTCTTGGTTTTGGGTACTCTCGACAGACTCCCCTGTAAGTCATAACACCAACACCCTAAACCTCAAAGCTTCAGTCCGTAATCCTCACACCGTAAGTTCTGCGGCCTAAGCTGTAACCCTCACACCCAAGAGGCCTTAAAGCACTCGCAGCTTTACCATGACCCCCCAAATACCCCTGAACCTAAAACCTAAACCCTAAACCCAAACCCTAAAACCTAAACCCCCAAATACCCTGAAGTTGGTCCATGTCCTGTTTGTGGGTGTTCAGGCTCCATGCAAGGTTGAACCCTCGACCCCATGTAGTTAAACCCGAGCCCCCAAGTCTCCCCAAATCCCAAGGATATTGGGGTTTAGTTTAGGGTTTAGGGTTTAAGGTTTAGGGTTCAGGGTTTAGGGTTGGAAGTTGTCCAAAAGTTATGGCCTCTTTTCGCACAGCCTGCGTATTCGAGATCGTTTATACTGGGAACCCAACAAGGATCATATAGCATCCAGCCGCATAAGCCATATCCCTGTGAACCTCCAGTGTCAGTGTCATGCTCCATTTGATTGTGCTTCATTGGGGTACATTTCCCTTAAAGCCTTAAAATCGCTCATACCACCATCAAAGGTAGGTTTTGCAATGTATGGTCCCCCTATATGGGACACTCAGCATGTACATACGCCAATATTCCTAAGGGACCTTATATACACTCACCAAAGACCAACAACCTATATCCTACCTCATTTACCTTATATAACCTCCATTTCGGTATAGTGATTCTCCATTTCATTCTCCGCAGCTGAGGCAGTACCACCCTAGACTTTGTACAATCCCATAGCTCCCCACGTACACCCTAAACTCGAAACTCGAAACCCAACAGCTCAAAACCATGTGAGCTATAGTCTAAACTCCTAATTCTCCCCTTCATAGCTCCCATAGTAGTCCCCCACACAATCTCCTATGCTATCCCCCTTTAAGGAGTTTAGAACCTAAACCCTAAACCTTATAAAGTCTCCTATATGACCCCCCCCTTTAAGGAGTTTGTGAAACCCTAAACCCTAAACCCTAAATCCCCATCCCGGAAGAGATTGCAAGCAGCCGCCCACCTCTGCCTCTGCCAGTATTTGGCGGACAGAGATGCCAGCGGCCTTCATGTGCGCTATGCCGTAGCCAGACCTGTTAGGGTTTAGGGTTTAGGAGTTTAGGGTTAAGGCTTCGGGTTCAGAAGCTGGTGCCGATATTCTCCCTTTACAACTTTTGCGTAATTGTCATAAAATGCCAAGATTACCCTCCCTTGTGTAATCGTAATAGCATCTACTTTTGGGTGATCCATCACAAGGAGTCTGGAGTGCCCTTGCTTTACGACTGGCATGTCGAGTTCTCGAAAATGGGCCTTTAGGGAATTCAAGGATATATGTGGATTATGAAGAATTCAACGACGGTGCCCTTTTTGCGATTCTAGAAGGCTTATTTGAGAAACTTTGGTTTCGGGGCGCCGGTTGGAATCCTCCCCTACCCTGAACCCTCAACCCTAAACCCCAAACCCTAAAATCCTAAACCCTAAACCCCAAACCCCAAACCCTAAACCCTAAACCAAAAACCCTAAATCCCAACACTGACCTCTGCAGCTCTTTTGCTGTGAAGCCCTCATCCAGCCATAGGCTGCGACAGTCGTACGTCTCCTGACCCAACTTTCGAACCCGCAGGGTCCAAGTGACAATAACTGGTGTTTAGGGTTTAGGGCCTTAAAGGGATACATAGGGATATACAGGGTGTAAGGTTTAGGGCCCTGCAGGGATATATAGGGATATATACGGTTTAGGGTTTAGAGCTCGATGTGTCCAAATATCTAACTAATAGTTCGGTACTGTATAATTAGGTGCTTGGATCCGTAGGGAAAGCTCTTGAAGGTAAAGGTTCAATGGCACATACCCTAAGGGTCCAAACACTCCTATATCACGGCTTTGGGTAATCTGAAGCCTCTTTGTTTGGGTACTTGGACTCTCATAGGAAGTGCTCAGGAACTAAGTTGCGTATTACCCAAAACCCCAAACTCCCTGAACCCCAAACCCCTCAGCCTTATGATGATAGAGGAATGAATCACTAGCAACAGAACTTGAGGGTTTCTCAAAATTAAGGGTCCCTTTATACCCCAACAAAAACACAATACTTCATATAGGAGCCACCAATGAGTGTCCCCATTTCTCATATTCAGCGCAGTCTCTGGGCTGATAGATCGCATCTGCTTCGCGCACTTCAGCCGCAGCATCATGACGCCTTATAAGCATTCCAAAAATACTGCTTCCTTATTGGGATACCGTGGAACTTACGTTGCAGCTTTACATTTCTCAGCGGGCTATAACACAAGAAGTGTTATTACCAACAATGAACCAGGAAGTAAGGGGGTCCCCTATGCCCTAAACCATATACCCTAATAAGCCTAAACTCCAAACCCCAAGCCCTAAACCCTGAAACCTACACCATGGGAATCCAAGAAGCATGACATGGGAATTACAAAGGAATGAAGGGAATCCCTACTCAGGATTCTCTTTAAGGGTGATGTTGAGAACTTAACCACATGAGGTATAGTCTAAACTCCTTCAATGGGGGTTATATAGAGGATTGTATAGGGCACTACTAGAGGGCTCACTAAGCGCGATACTAGGAGTTTAGACTAGAGCTTGGGGTTTAGGGTGTGGGGCTTAAACTGTTCAAGAGCTCTTCCTTGAAGGGGGATTGGAAGTCCTGCAAGCATTTAAGCTTGCATAGTCTACAGGTGTCGTATGGGCTTGAATGGTCAATTCAGTTCAAAAACTCTTTGGACATCCATCGCAGTATGAAGATCCAGGTTGATCATCTCATTGGCATTTGGCACGACAGGTCATGATGAAGAGATGTGAGTTGATAAAGGAATCGCCCCTTCATGGGGGTTAAATGGATCACGCAATCACGTCCCCCTAACAACGAAAAGCTTATCATGAAACCCTTAACCTTCCCAAATCGCAAAAGAATTTCCCCGAAATGTGATGGTTGAATGTTGGGAACGTGAATCATCACAGGGGATGGGAGGCTTATGATTGTGGAGGGTGTTGCCCTCATCTGACAGCCTTCTCTGGGCCATTCGGGTGTAGTACTCCCTGTCTACCCGTCAAAGAAAGATATCCTTGATTTGCGCACACTCACTTCTACTGCTGTTCTTAATCCATGTCATCATTCATGAGGTTGTTCACTACAACTATTGCTTCCAACGAAGGATATCAACTTTAGTGCCGTCTGCGGCATGGCTAAGGCTAGGGCTAATACCGTGGATGCACAAACATGTAGTGCAGCCTCTCGGTACGCATACACTAGGAATTCCAGTTGCCAGAGATCCCACTTCCAGGGTCTCCTCCATCCACGGTTGGAGCTAGACCCGGCCCTGACTGCAAACCCGTAAACTTGCAGCTTAAAGCCCTGAACTCAACACCCTCAAACCCAAGCCTCCAATACTCCGCAAATTCTAAGTAAGTATACTTATAACCTCCTATAAACCACATGGTAACCCCAATTATTCCCATGATTAACCTACTTACTAAATGCCCCTCACCCTCCAAGTAGACCCCCACACAGCAAAACCCTAAACCCTTACACCTTAAACCCTAAAACGGACAATTTAAAACTTCACACAGCAATCCAAGCGGCAGAACTCCTCGAAGTCGATTTCGCCAGAGGAGTCGCTGTCAAAATCCCGGAGAAGTCCCCGCAGCTGCTTAGACTTCATCGGGAAGCCTGATATGATTTAAGGGATTAAGGTTTAGAGGACAAAGCTTCCGGCTTGTTCCATTTAACGGATTAGGGTTTAGGGCTTTGTGGAGGGAGCTTAGGGCATAGTATGATTTAAGGGTTTAGGGTTTAGGGCTCATGGGGACAAAGCTTGGGCCATATTATGATTTAAGGGATTAGGGCGTAGGGCTTAGGGGACATTCCTGCAGGTGAAGGGGACTTTGCACAACTTCAGATCCCCCAAATACTTTAGCTCCCACATACTTTAGGTCCCAGAGTATGGGGCACACAAGGTGAAGCAAGAATGCCATTTTTCCCAGCCTGAGGCAAACAGAGTAGATACTCTACCGTTGATGGAACAAATCCTGCAAGACTCTAAGCATACCATAATACCATAATTACTGAAGCTTAGGCGCATTTGTAGGTTGTCAAAAGTATGGTTGCTTTTTGGATACCCTACATATATTCGGGGCCGCATTCTGCTAGGGGCCCGAAATTGGACCACAAATTCGCCATCCTATTGCTTAGGATACTGCTTGCATCAACTGTGGTAATGTTCAGCTTGAGAGGAGGATTTGGAGGAGCCAAGGCCCATCAAACCCTATCATCAAAAACCTAGAACAGCTAGATTTTTCATGAAACCGTCACAGGGACAATAAGAACAACACTGTCTGATAATCATAGGGTTTAAGGTTGAGGGTAACCTCAAGGGTCCAAGGACCCGAATAATAGGGTTTTAGGGTCCAAATACTATAATATTACTGGTATTTGGGTCCTAAATTCCTATTATTTGGGTCCTTGGACCCTAAACCCTAAACCCTATATACCCCTATAACACCCTTTAAAGGGACCCTATTGCTTGGGTCCTTGGACCCTCAGGGTAAAGCATGAAAACTTACGTCCACAGTGCCAAGGGAGCCCAGCTTTCGGAAGATATGATCCAGCTCCTGGGCTGCCGTTAAGGAACCCTAAACACTAAACCCTAAAACCCTAAACCCTAAAACCCTAACACCCTAAAACCCTAAACCCTAAAATCCGAACACCCTAAACCCTAAAATCCTAACACCCTAAAACCCT